TTTTTTTTTTCTGATTGATTTTTCCCATACCTCCGTAATTAATATTCGTGTTATCTTTCTTGAAACTTAAACCGATAATTTACAATAGCCCTAACCCTTCAACTACCATGATTTCATAGGCAATTCTCCTTACCGTCTACCATGAAAATCATGTGATGTTAGTTTGGAGAATTTGGGATGAGATCAACCAATAATTTTCTAATTGATATTTTTCTTTACTCTCATTACTTGTCTGCTCGATATCGTACTGATAGTGTAAGGAGAAATTCTGTCTAGGTCAGTAGTGGGACTTAAAAGCTTCATCTTGATCTTGGAATGAATTCAAAGAATTTAGAAAATATTCGAGGCAATGAATGTTTCCCTAAATATCCGAATAGGCCAATAGAGTTCTTGTATGTACCAATGTGAAGTATTTATTTTCTAAGCAACTTTAAGCTTTGTTTCATTTAATTAACGTTCAAGCGAACGCTCGAACACCCGAGAGAGCATAAAAACCCAGCCCATAACTTGTATCGTTTCTGGGCCCCATAACTTAATTAAGTAACTTGGCAGACTCGAATAATTACTTTTCTTGAAGCAACCATCAGATCCTTTCAGACAAAACGTGATAGTTGTATATACCTCAACTCGTAATGTTTCTACTCCTGTACATATCCCAAAACCTAAAAAAAAGGACTGCTCCTAGAATCCACGCAATTCGATGGAGAAGTTATCTTCCCCCGATTATCATAGATCTCAACTAATAGATTGTGACTTATGTGTGAACCATTTTTTGCATTATCAGTCACAGAAAGATGTAATTCTAATGCTGACATTGCCTTCTTGGTGGACTCCTCGGGAAGCATCTCCCGTGAAAACTACGAAAAAGTGAAAACATTTGTGTCAAACCTCGCTGCGAGCTTCAACATTTCTCCAGGGGGATCCCGTGTGGCTGTTGTTATCTACAGTACAGGCGCAACAACTGCAATCAAGTTTGATGACTTCACAAGCGCAGACTCGTTTGAGAGAGCAGTGAAACTCCTAAAACATGAGCGCGGATTCACAAGGATAGATCTTGCTCTTCAAAGGGCCTATTACGACTTGTTCGGCAGACGAGGCAGTTCTCGATATGAAGTACCAAAAATTGCCTTCCTCCTCACCGATGGAAAACAGACGGAAGACTCCCAAGCGCTCTCTCTTGGAAAGATGGCCCGCCTTATCAAGGATCAAGGAGTGCGAATCGTTGCAATAGGAGTTGGAAAACAAGTCGAAACTCAAGAACTTATGACAATTGCAACTAACGAAAAGGACGTCATACAGGCAGACACATTTGACAACTTATTAGAAAAAGTGCAACCGATCGCCGAGAGTGCATGTGAAAGCTTTTTAGGTAACAGCCCTCTTTTCATTACTGAAAAATAATACCATAAGCTCGCAATGTAACTTGTATAGATTAAAGGACCTTTGATGGAGGCTCTGTCTTTCAAGATTGATTAAGACACGATGTTAAGGGCTTGG